GTATGCAGACTCTTGGTATGCCTTGCACAATGAAACCCTAACCAGCAAGAAGGAATGAACCAGCAACACATGAACGAATCCCCAAGTATTCTCCTGAACTGAGTAAAATGGCATATGATTCCACTGATTATATATTATCCAGGGAAGTTAATTCTATGGCAGAAGCAGGCCAGTGTTTGCTCAGGGCAGGTGGCCAAGAAGGAGACAAGAAGGAATGGGAGTGAAGGGGAACAGAGAAACTGTTAGGGATTGCCTGGTGTCATTTTGATAGTAGTGATAGTTTCACAGGGGCACAAATTCTAACATGTAGCAAACTGCAATTTACTGCATTTCAATTATAACTTATAAAGCTATTAGACACACACACATACACACAAAAAGGACAAATGGGGCTTTCAAATTATCAGATTCTTTCTCAGAAAGCAGACTTCCAGCTCCCTTTTAGAATTAAGAACTATAATTTCCTAATCTCAGAAACTGCCTTTGTGGTTAAAGTTTCAGTGACCAGTCAGACCAAACAGAGAGATGTCCTGAGCAGATACTGTACAGGGACCTGGAATAAGTGCCACTTGCTGGACCTATGGCCATGATTTTGTTTAAAATTTAGAATAGGAACTTACATATCCATGTACCTGCCTAGAGTTTGGGTTTTAGCAGTATGTTTTTATGTTTTAAAACAGCCTATGTATTTAAAGACACCTTAAGTCTTAACACACTTCCCTTAGTTACTATGGCGAAAGTCAACACATTTATTATCTCTGCCCCCCAGGTTGAAGAGAATTTAAAAATTCCCTTAAACAGAGAACAACAGAGAGAAATCCAACAATCAAAATCCTAAAAGATGTTCCGCCTAAAGGGTCCTTCACGTAATCTTGTAGGAGTTTCAGTCTTGTTGGAAAACCATAAAGTTTCAACAGCCTAAGTTCCTTCCACCAGCGAGAAGTTACACAGCCTGTCTCCAGGTGCTGTGTGGTAGCAGAAACAGCATACAACTGACAATGGAGACCAGTGTTCTAATTCTGCCACTACCTAGTTGTCGAGCTTGCATAAACCACTTATCTCCTTAGGATGGCATTGCCTCACTCAACACTGGAAAATCCTGACAGAGCCTTCTACTCCAAGATTTTATTAATCTTGCAACAGGCAAACAAAGTGTCACACCATAAAGCACTTTGCTGAGGCCACTGAACAGTCTTTTAGCTTTTAGCCTTTATAAGACGCACCCTCAAAATGTGTGGTGCAGTCAGAAGCAAACGAGTGTATGTCTGAAATTTTTGGCACTTTTATTTACTATCAAACTCAGGGAAACAGATCTGATATTTATCAATACTAGTTGTTGATTATTGTATTCAGAGGATTCATACAGCCCTGGCTACCCTAGTTACATAGAGGTGCCACCTACTCAGTGAATGTGGAATGGAATTCTCATTACTATTCATCTCTATACCATAATGTTAGGACAACACTCATATTCCGAGCATTCTTCATTCATGTTGATAAAAAGCTTTTGTGTTTTGGGTGAGGTGCATGTAACCTGTGACTCTGAAACCTAACTCCCACCCCATGCACTGAGAGGATATGGTTTTGGAAGGTTTACAGTGACTTTAATAAAGCCCTGACAAGGCTTTCTGAGAAGTAGCTATTACAATATGAACATGTCAGTCCCACACTCACTACTAAGATCCTAACTCAGTAATCTCATCAAAGGAGCCATAACTGAAATACAGAGTACTTGTGTTCATAGATGATCTGACTAACTTTGAGCTTTTTAATAGGAAAACTTACTTACTTATTTCATGAACATAAAAAAATTAAGCTAGGGGGCTGGAGAGACGGCTCAGAGGTTAATAGCACTGGCTGTTCTTCCAAAGGTCATGAGTTCAATTCCCAGCAACCACACAGTGGCTCATAGTCATCTATAGTGAGATCTGGTGCCCTATTCTGGCCTGCAGGCACCTGTGCAGGCAGAATACTGTATAAATAATAAAGTTTCAAAAATTAAACTGAAATCAATGAGTGGCACCATGTGACGGTGGTTAATTCTGCTATCTACTCCCAAATCAACCCATGAAAAAGCCCAGAAAACAATGCAGAAAATTGAGGCTCACAAAGTTCACATAATAAAACTATTATTACCATACCCAAATTAAGGGTAAGGGCCTAAATAAAGAGATTGCTGCTATTTGGACACCAGTTACTGAACAAGGCAGAAGTAACACCCAAGTTAACACTGTTTCACTACAGGATCTTATCTACTCCACCCGAGCACTTTCTCTGTCATGAGGTCACTCAGGGCCTCACTAGGGCAGGAGGCTTGGGTATTTAGCGGCCCTTCTTTAGTCACTAATGCAAAAATAATGTGCAGGAGAATTTAACAGGATGATTCTGTATGTGAACAGGCTGCCAGGAAGGCTTTTAAATGGCTTAATGCTTAGGCATGAGGGGAGTATAAATTGTGGAAAGCAGTGGATTATGCGTACTTACATGAATACATAATGAGATGTAAAGGAAAGCTAATAAATATTAACCGGAAATTAGCTTAGGATGGAGAAGTTTCTCTTAGGATTGTTTGTTCATGTGCTTGTGTGTGTGTGTACACGTGTGTGCATGCGAGTGCAGAGAGGCTAGAAATAACACTGGGTGTCTTCTATCGTTCTCTACCTAACTTTTTGAGAAAAGCTCTCTTGATGAACTTAGAGCTCAGCAATTGGCAGAACTAGACCAGAAAGTGCCAGGAACCTTTCTGCCTCCATATCCCCAGAGAGGGATATGCCACCTCACCCAGCACTATGCAATCCCAGCACTTGGGAGGCAGCGGAAGAAGAATCACTGTGAGTTCGAGGCCAGCCTGGTCTACAAAGTGAGTCCAGGAGAGCCAATGCTACACAGAGAAACCCTTTCTTGAAAAGCCAAAAAAAAAAAAAGGGGGGGGGAGGAAGCAGGTCTCCTTCTGGTACAACTTCAAGGCATGGCGTCAGAAAAAGGTGTTCCACAACTCATCTACTTGGCCTGATCTTTAAAACAAGAATGAGACTTCCACAAAGAAATCACAGGTCAGGACTTGAAAAAAACGGCCAGGTGCTGGAGAGATGGTTAAAGGGCACTGGATGCTTTTAGCAGAGGACCAGGTTCTGATTCCCAGTATGCACACGGCAGCTCACAACTATCTATAACTCTTGTTCCAGGGGATTGCACATGGTCTTTTCCAGCCTTTGCAGACATACATATATGCACAATGCCCAAACACATAAAATAAAAGTAAATACATTTTTTTTTTAAAGAAAAGCTAGCTAATGTTGATCTCTATTTTAGTTATAATTTTGCAAAGCAGACTTTCTAGAAAGCACACTTTCAAATTAGAAGGGAGAGAGAAGTGGCCTGACAGAGGCGGCGGGGCTCCTAAGACCCACCCCTGCTGGAGGGCTGCTGCTCTCTGAAGGCCTTCCTGACATGCACTGTTCTGAAGCCCACTGGCCTCAGATAGGAGGTGGGCAAGGGTCTGCTGTGTGATGTCCCACAGACTTTCCTTGCTTGATAGCTAACTCTGTAGCTTCAGATTACTGGTCCTGGCAATAACAACAGCAACAAGGAGAATCATCAATGCCAGGGCCTAGAACAGGGCGAGCACAAAGGCAGTAGCTAAGTGAAAGTTCTGGGGAAAAGGTAGGGAAGAGGCAGATGCATCCCCTGCACCATACTGCCAGGCCATGACAGGGAAGCAACAGACAACTAGCAGGTTATAAACACATCTCATCACTGAATCAGGCTGTGTCTTAACGCCAGCACCTATGAGTGTGTGCTTGTTCTTAATCATCAGCAAGTCCCTATTGTGTCAGGTATGAAGTGGCAGACTTGGGGTTCTCTGAGCTCATTTTGAACCTGCACCTGCAGCACACCTAGCATGCCTGAGGCACACTGACAGCTACCTGTGTTTCTACTATTAAGACAACAGGCAAGGAAGCTCTGGAAAGAAGCCTCTCACACGGCAGTAACAAAGAAGCAGACTCTGTTGCAAGGAAATACCTAGCAGTAAAAAAAATTTCAAGCTTTAAAAACATGTACTCTTAGCTGGGCAAGATGACACAGGCCTGTAATCCCAGCACTCAGGGAGGCAGAAGCAGGCGGACCTCTGTGAGTTTGAGGCCAGCCTGGTCTACAAAGTGAGTCTAGGGCTAGTGTAGCCAGGGCTACACAGAGAAACCCTGTCTTGAAAAACAAAACAAAACAAAACAAAAAAAAAGTTTTGAGTCTTTTTATTTCTGAATTCAATCCTTATTGAAAATTGAAAATCCTTATTGAAAACAGGAAATTGAAAAATTTGTTTAAAACACAGGTAACATTTTCTAGGCAGTTTTATATTAACATAATGACAATGAAATGAACAATAAATATATACACCAGTCATAAATGAAGAGCTTCACAATGTATAATAAAAGTAAAAAACATAAACAAAATCAAACAAACAAACAAACAAACAAAAGAATCTAGTTGCCAGGCAGTGATAGGCAGGTCTTTAATCCTAGTACTCAGGAGAGGAGGCAAAGGCAGTTAGGTCTCTGTGAGTTCAAGGCCAGCCTGGTCTACAAAGTGAGTTCCAGGACAGCCAGGGCTGTTATGCAGAGAAATCCTGTTTCGAAAAATCAAAAAGTAGAGTAAAAAACAAAGATCCTTTGTTTTTTAATCATCAATTATCAGTTAAAGTAAGCTTCAAGGGCTGGAGAGATGGCTCAGCGGTTAACAGCACTTGATGCTCTTGCAGGGGACCTGGGTTCCACTGTGAGTCAGTCAGATGATGGCTCCCAACCATCTTAATTCCATTTCTGGGGACCCAAGGCCCTCTTCTGACCTTTGTGGACACTGCATGGACTTGGTGCACAAACACACATGTAGGTAAAACACCCATTAACGTAAATTTTACAAGTCACCTCACCGCAATGTTTGATACTGCTATAAAACGTATGCCCCTTACAAAACACATTATTACAAACAAATAAACTCACCTTTGGTTTTTTGATCAGCAGCCTGAAAAAAAAAAAATCAGAAACTCTTTAGAAACAGTTGTGTGGAATGCACACATTAATAAACATTAACGAGTTTATAAGCAGACTTTTAATTATTTTAGGTTTTTTTTTTTTTTTTTTAAGTTTCTCTGAGACAGGGGGCCCTGACTATCCTGGAACTCATTGCACAGATCAGGCTGGCCTCAAATACAGAGATCTGCCTGCCTCGGCCTCTTGAGTGTTGGGACTAAAACTTTTAATTCTTGAAAATTTAAAAGAAAGCCTTTATTCAGCTAATTTACTAGTGAGAAAAATCATGCTGTGACTACATATCAGTGTTAAGTTTTTATGGCCAAAAAAAAAGTTTTAATGGAAGCCACCTGAACTCTCTATCTGCAGTAGGCTAGAAGGGATTGTTCAAACCACCAGGCACATTACATAGATGAAAACAAAGATAGATATATAATTGGTTATTTTACATGCAACAAAATGGAAATATAACTGTAAGGTTTAAAGACCGTTTTTAGTTATGTGTATGTGTGCACCTCTGTGTGCGTGACTGTGCAGGTAAATGCAGGTTCCCAAAGGATCCAGAAGAGGGTGTCGGATATCCTGGAGCTGGAGTTATAGGTGGCTGCAGACCTTTTGATGAAAGTGTGGGGATTGAACTTGGGTCCTCTGGAAAAGCGGCAAATATTCTTAACTCTCGAGTCATCTCTCCAGACTGGTTTATAGAACTTCTTGTTTTTCAAGAAAGGGTTTCTCTGTCCTCGAACTCAATTTGTAGTCTAGGCTGGCCTCAAACTCACAGAGATTCCCCTGCCTCTGTCTCCTGAGCGCTGAGATTAAAGGTGTGCACCATCACACCAAGAGTTATTTCTAGCTTTTCTAATGCTGTCAGTTTCATGGTCCTTCCTGATGCCTTAGATGGGTCTGCTCTGAGCTAGGCACAGTCCACTCTCAGAAGGAGGCATGAACATGCACTATACATTAACTATACAGCCCCTGGAAACATGGCTTCAGTATGTCTGGCTCTTTAGAAAAGACATTTTGCAGCTGGCATCCTATACTCATTTCACTAGCCAAGTATCTATTATTTACTGATAACACACTTTAGTGTATTGATTTAAAACAACAACAGAACCAAGCTTGGCCATGAGATAGCTATGTTAATGCAGAGATGACATACAACGGCACAAAAGAAGGAACTCTAGCAAACCTTTTTCTGAGCACCTTCCTTCTTTTTCTTGTCTTCCTGCTTTTTCTTTTTCTTTTCTTCCATCAAACGTTCCTCTTCTTGTGTTTCCTGTTCCTTTACCCTATAAAATATTTAAAAAGCAGTATTAGTATGATGACCACTTTAAAGCCAACTAAGAAATGAAAAAACAACCAGGCCTGGTGGCACAGGACTATAATCCTAACTATCTGGGAGACTGAGGAAGGAGAATCACAACTGTTGATTCTGACTGGCATGGGTTTTGCTTGGGTCCTCCAAAAACAAAGGGAGCTCGAAGTGCTTCCTGCTGCTCACTCAGCCAATCTGTGCACTGCTCCGTGCGTGCACCAGCCTTCCAGTGGGGGCTCCCTGTTAAGACAGGGCTTCACATACTGGTCACTGGTGGTGCACACCTTTGATCCCAGCACTCGGGGGGCAGAGGGCAGGGGGATCTCTGTGAGTTTGAGGCCATCCTAAACTACAAATTGAGTTCTGGGATAGCCAAGGCTACACAGAGAAACCCTGTCTTGAAAAACAAAAAGTTCTATAAACCAGTCTGGAGAGATGGCAGAGGGCAGGTAGACTGCAGTGAATTCGAGCAAGTTCCAGGACAGTCAAGGCTACACAAGGGAGACTCTGTCTCAAAAAAGACAGGGCTTCACCAGCTTAAGGCCCAAACTACTTTCTATAGTTGATTCTTTTTGTTTGTTTGTTTGTTGAGACAAGGTCTCAGTATGTGGCCCTGGGCGGCCTGGAATTCATTATATAGACAAGACAGGCCTCAAACTCTGAGATCCCTGCCTGCCCCTGGCTCCTGAGTGCTAGCACTAAAGTCAATCCTTTTATCACGGCTTATTCCTTGAATGAAATACAGCCATTTTTAACATTGTAAGGTTTCTATATCCCTAATGGATCTAACACAGGGTGACAAGTATATTCCACAGATGAACTGGAGGAATAATGTACCCAAAAGCCTCAGCCAAGCATTGTTTACCCATGCAGAGATGCTGCTTTGTGTTTAATAATTTTGTATTTTATATGCAACTATACATGTAAGAAATATCAATGACAAAATACTATCATAATAAAACCAACTTAAATTGATAAGATGGGGTATCTGTGAATATTCCTCCCATAAAACAGTGATTCCTCAGTCTTTGGTTTCAGATCAGAATTAACTTGGAAAGCTTAAGAACTTCCAAGACCAAGGTTGCTGCAACCCATCTGGATAAAATCTTTGTGACAGGACTCTGGCATCAGCAGTAAGTATTTAAAGCTTCCGGAGGACTCCAGAATCTGTCCATATTATGAACTCTGAGAAATGACTATTTATGATCTTAGAGATACTCTGCAGGAACGTTTTCATGGTAAAAGATATATTCCGCGCCATTTGCATGCACAGCATTCTAGGTATAGGCAGTCTTCAGTGTGACCAAGTATGCTACCACCATGCAGCTTCAGCTATATCTAAGTAGAAAACAAAACAAAACAAGCCCACAGTGGCTGCCTGCTGCTACAGTCAGGTTTTCTTAATTTATAGCACACTGAGACCCTTAAATTATCTTCAGAGAGGAAATGTAATAAAGCAGGTAGGTAGGGGCTCTGCATTACAGAGGTATTCAACAGAAGGAGGAATAAAATGATTTCTGCATCATTCTATTCATCTGCAAATTAAAGTAACAAAGGCCAGCTACTCTTCAGCCCAGGTAAGTGCTTTCTTTTCCAACTGCTCATGTTTACATGACAAAGAGCACCAGCAGCAATCACTTCTACCTCCAACTCCTACTGTTCAGCTGTTACTTTTCATTATTAATTTAAAAAGCCAACATCTAATCACACTTTTATTTTATAGCATAAGGCATGCCCATGGGAAAACTCATAAAGATGGAAAGAAAGCTTCCTTTTCCTGTGTCATCTTAGAAGCAATGTAAGCTGGAAGTTTCTTGGGTATCCTTATGAATACTCTTCATGGGACTGGGGTTCAGTGGCAAAGCACTTGAGCCAGCACATATATAACACTCGGTTCAACCCCTGGGTCACCATCCTCCACAAAAGCAGCAGCTGCAGCTCTAGCTGGTGACATGGTGGTGTGCACCTGCAAATCCCAGAAAGCAGGAGTGTCTTGAAACTGAGGCCAGCCTCAAAAAACAAAACAAAAAAACAACAAAACTGAACCATATCATGTGCATACAAAAGCTAGTGGAGGTCAGAAGACTGTCTGATCTCCAGAAACTGGAGTTTCACATGGTTGTGACCTACAATGCGGGTGCTGGGCTGAACCCAGCAAGACCAAGCACACTTGACTGCTGAGCTCTATATTGAACACCTGATGCTGTCATTTTGATTTGATTCAGACTGATAGAGTAGGAAGAGGACACAGATTGAGCACAAGGAACTGCTGACATCCTTACCCATCCTGCACTGTTCATTCAAATGTTTTAATTCAGTTATCCCATGATTTGCCTTCAGGCAACTGCTTGCTCATTTTGTTGAAAATAAAAGTATCTCTTTTAAGAAGTCAGGCATGGTGGGCCAGCCCTTTAATCCCAGCACTTGGGAGGCAGGAGCAGGTCTTTAGTTCTCTGTGAGTTCCAGAACAGCCAGAACTACACAGTGAGACCCTATTTGGGTAGAAGTGGGGTGCAGGGAGAAAGGAGGCTGGAGCGATAGCTCAGCAATTAAGAGCACTGGCTGTACTTGTAATGACCCAGGTTTGATTCCTAGCATCCAGCACTACATAATTGTTTTATAACTCCAGTCCTAGGGAATCTGATACCTTCTTCCGGCCTCTGTGGTCACTGTATGCACATAGACATACATAAAACCAAAAACCTATACAAACAAAATAAAAATAAAGGTAAAAGAGAATAAAAATAAAGGTAAAAAGAACAAAGAAACAGGGTTGCAGATTTTCTAGAAACTGTGCAATCTCCCCTTTTTGTTAGACTGGTGGCATGGCAGGGTCTAACATATCAGACTGGGAACATATCAGGTTGGGAATTAATTTGAAGGCCTCATACTGCTGCATCTCAATACACAGTCCTTGTCAGAAGGACTATGCCACTGAGTATTAAATCATCTTCAGGTCACATGCTGCTGAAGATGTTTTAAGGCAGAGACATTTGTGTCCTGTGCACCTGAGTTGTGAAACTTCATGAAATGGACCTCAGTGGTTTTTGTGCCACTATTCATGCTCAGCATTTGGTATATGTATTTTTTCAAACCAGTAAATTTAATCTTATCTCTTTATTTTGTGTGTGTGTGTGCATGTATGTGCACACTCTCAAGCGAATGTGTGTGTGTGTTTGGCTTTCTTAGGTCCTCCAACCCTATGGACACTTAATAACTGAGGTAACTTTCCTCTCGACTGCTTTTCTATAGCACTTTGTTAATGTACAGATGGAAAGCCTCTCATGGCTGGCTGTTTCCTACAGAATCATCCTGTCTTGTCTTCCCTTGGAGTCTCTAATCTGAGGAGCTTTGTGTGCATGGCAACATTTATTTCACTGTGGATTCTTATCTTAGATCAGCCAAGGAACTGTCTGCTGTGCTAGACAGAGCAGCCTCAAAAGCCAATCCCATTGTTTTCCCCTGGTTACCATGCACTTGATCTAGCATTAGGTACTAGATTTAGCCTCCCAGAACTGCCTCACTGTTGGAGTTGTCCTGGACTATCCTTGATCCGGACCATAACTTCCTACCCTTATTCTTATTTCTACTGTACCTGTTCTTGACTCTCATTGAAACTTCTATTTCCCGACTCTTCCATGTCCTTCCAAGCTGTTGTCATTACTTGCCTTCCTAAAGACATTAAAATCTCAGGACAATCTTGTATGTTCCCTAATCTGGTCTCACAAAAAAGAAAGGAGTGATGAAAAACACGCTACTTGTTGTGGGAGGCAACACACTAAGGAATAAGGGACAAATTAATTTAACATACATTTGTGGCCAATAGCTTTGCATGTGCTCTGGAACTCCAGCCACAAACAAGGCAATGCACACACTCAAGGACACACACATTTAAATGACTCTAGCAAGTCACTGTCATCAACACAGCTCTCAGCCAGATAGTGAGGGTAGCAAAGAAAGTACCTGCAAGGCCTAGGGTGCAGGCCTTCAGGACAGCCAAGGGAACAGTATGTTCCTGGCTTTAAAATAGCTTCCTCTGTCTTCTGGGCTGTTGGTGGCATACTCCTCTCCTGTCTCTCTGGCCCCAAGAAAAATCTAGAACCATTTAAAGCTTTTGTGTCCCCCAACCCCTTTTTGGTATCTAATGTCAGCTAATGCTTACAAAGGAATAATCTTCTATGAGTACAGTCTTCTCTGCTATAATTAGTAAGCAATACTCAGTAAGTTGCTATCTCTTTTGGGTCTAGCTTGAACGTGGAAAGATCTCTGGACCACGGGACGGTTTTGTAAAGGCGGCATGCCCTGATTAAACGAGGAGCGGAACTGTTTTGATTTTTAGCACGTGGCTCCTATCTTTGTAGGTGCACATGCAGCATGTGTGTGATGTTTCGGGAGGCTGAGAAGAAGCCGTTCTCACTCTCTCTCCATTTTCTATTTTGAAGCAGGGTGTCTGGCTGAACCTGGAGCTCAAAATTTTGGCTAGTCTGGCTATCCAGCTTGCTCTTGCTCCAGAAAATTTCTGTTACCACTTCTGTACTAGAATTACAGGCCCTTCCTCCGGAGCCGTCTCCAGTCCTAGAATGTCATTTATTTATTTAAAAATTCACTTAATAGATAGGGACTCAGTATGTAACTGGTTGGGAACTTGCTTTGGAGACCAGGCTATCCTTGAACTCAGACATGAGAGGTAGTCTGCTTCCACCTCCCTAGTGCTAGGACTAAAGGCATGAACCACCATGCCTAGCTTGTTTTTTGGAGGTAGAGGTACAATCTTTATTTCTGATTTCCTTGATCTTGACCTTAACTCACCCCTTTTATTCTGTCCATATCTCTCATGCTCTTGTGTATTTCCCTCACCTCCAGACAGCCCAACAACCAAGTCTCTATCCACCTACGTTTTCACAAAGGATTTTATTTGTTGTTTTGTAAAACTGGGACCCTACTACACACTCCATTTTGCATCTTGCTTTTCTT